ACGAGTTGGAGGACCCAACTCGGCGAGTTAGGGATGAGTGTGAAAACCCTAATTTTCAGGGTTTGCACCCTATTTAAAAGGACCTTAAGCCCTCTATTCCTCCTCCCTCATCACCTTATCACCCTGAGACAAACCCTAATCGAGCTATCTTCCACTGTGAGAGAGAGTGAGGCTAAGAGTGTGTGTTTTGGTGCATTTCTTGAAGGAACTTGAGGAGTAAAAAGCTCGGAACAAGGAGTCTTTGGATCCGACATCCATTCAGTGTTAACGACCATTTGGAGGTAAAAGCCATTATCTTGATCACTTGTTAGATCTCTCCATTAGAGAGTTTATGGCCATTTTTATCATTTTCTTGAGTCATTGTTGGTTTTGAACTTACCTTGAGCTCAGACTTCAGATATGGACGTTATTAGGCCCTTTAGGCCTAAAGACTCAAGCTTTATCAAGCTTTGGCCAACTTCCATGCCTTGAACCCCTTGTTGAGCTTTGTTTTGGCAAACTTAGCCCCTAAATGCCACGCATGGACGTAAAGCTTATAGCTTTACATGGTATCCCATGCTTAAAAGGCTAGATCTAGAGTTTGGGGCCTTAGTCTCGCTTAAAAGCGTCTAAATGAGAGAAAAGACTGAAGGAACTTGACGAGTTGGTTAGGGTTTTCCCCGATATTCTGGACGTTGTACAAACTCGACGAGTTGGTGAGACAACTCGGCGAGTTGAGTTGAATTTTCCCGATTTTTCCGAGAACAGAAGGAACTCGACGAGTCGCATAGATGCACTCAACGAGTTGGGTCAACATTGATTGTTGACTTGAGCGTTGACTTTTAGGGTTTGGTCAAGTTGTGGATTTTGGAGACCATGGAGGGGTAAAATGGTCTTTCATCCTTTTCGAGAGTTAGTAAAGGAGTCAGCTTAACATCTTTGGATTTGTTATTATAAGGGCTAATGTCATAAAAATCCTTAAGTTTTCAAATAATTGTTGGTTTTACCCTTTGATGTGTTTTGGGCTCATTAAAACCGGATATTTGATTTAATTTTTGCACTTATACCCTTCTAGGGGGTTTCCCAGTCATCTGTCGGTAATATACAACCCATCTAAGTCACTGATCTATAGATGCCTAAAACCATCCCCATTTCCATTACCTTCGCACCTGCAAATCGAATTTTGTGTCTATAAATATTCAACCTCTCCTCATCTCAACCATCACCATCTCTATCTCCATAACTAAAGGTGCACACAGTAGCCCTTCACCACCGTTTCATTGTCTTCTTCATTCCCTATTCTCTCTGGTCATCACGTTTTCCAAAAACATCAAACCTGAAATCCACCACTGTTACCATCATTGAAATCCACTACCGCTACCATATCTACATTGATATCGTCCACTACCACCTCCCATTCTTGCCCATATCTAAACTTAGCTCCGGTAACACTCTCCTCTTCATTCACCCTATTCACCATGGTCATCTTGGAAATACAAAGGAACACAAAAATACACACATAACACACAAATTAGTAGCAAATCATACACTGTGTGTTGTGTGCAAATTTTAATCACAAAGCAGATATTGATGAACCCCAAAATGGGTGTGTTTTCCTTAAAATCGAAGACGAAGAGGTCTGAATCGGTTGATGAACAGGTGCCATCTTGACACCAAGGTCTGAATTGGGTGATGAAGGTGATGAACACGTGATGAACCCCTTTACTCTGATTCATGTTCCAATGATGTAATCTGATGTATGTGAGGATGACGGCAGTAAGGTAGCTCCTCATATCAATATGGAAAATCGAAAGGGAAAGATGGTGGAGGAGATCGATCTGTTCATCACCCAATGTCTGAATCGAATTTGATGGAAGAAGAAAAGTCTGATCAGTCACATGCCCTAATCTTCAAGGTCTAAATCGGGTTTCATGTTGGGGTTCGATTCAGAAGAGAAGAAGAAAGGAGACCATCATGGATCGATTCATTGCACATGAGGTTAGATTCAGAAGATAAAAGCGAAGAGAAGAAGAGGACGAAGGAGGTTTGGGGATGAAGATGACGGTGGGTGAGGATTGAAGCCAACGTGAGAGTGTAACCGGGTAACCTGTTGGTTACCTGTTAAATGGCGATTTTGACACAATTACTCTAAATATCCGGATTTAATGAGTCCAAAACACATCAAATGGTAAAACCAACAATTGTTTAAAAACTTAAGGGCTTTTATACCAATAGCCCTTATTATAATTGTTAATTAGAGATGATTATGATATATGTAGGCGGAGTCTAGACCGATCGTTGAGTACGAGACATACTTGCTTTACTTACGAGGTGAGTCTTCCCACAATACTTACCTGAGTGGTAATTACTATGTGACCGGAGGGTCTTATCTGAGTTATTGATCGGAGGGTCTTATGCGCTTATACTGAGTTATGTGATATTAGGCATTCTGTCCTTGTGATTTATGTTGTATATTACTATGTGCCTTATTGAGTTAGGACCAGAGGGTCCAAACCGAGTTGTGAGACCGGAGGGTCTTCACTGAAATACAGGATTGAAGGATCCAACCCGAGTTGTGAGACCGAAGGGTCCTCAATGAGACACATGACCGGATGGTCCTTATCGAGATTTAGCCATGAGAGTCTAATTATTTGTGTGTGGTATTTTGGAGAACTCACTAAGCTTGTGCTTATAGTGTTGTGTGAAATGTGTTTCAGGTACATCTCAGGATCGCGAGAAGGCGTCAGCATGCTTGTACACACCAACTAATTGATTTGTGTTTTGAGGATTCTGGGATATTTGACCAATAATTTTATGTCTTGTGTTTGAAACAAATTATAAATTGGGTTTGAGAAATGTTAAACTGTGTTTTGTATGAATTTAAAAATGAAAACTTTATTTGAAAACTTGAAGTGCTACATTATCCCCCGTAGTATTATATAATCTGATTTTCTTTAATAATTTTCGTTCGTTAACTTAAAAAAAACTAATTTTTTTATTTGTTTTTTTATGTATATGTCGGTATAAATTAAACATGGTCAACATTTCGACCTATTCAAATTCGAGTTTGTCTATGTTTCAACTTTAATGTTTTTTTATGTTTTCGTGTTTATTTTCTGTACATTTCCAATATATGAGTCGGGTCATATATAATATATTTTTTATTATTTGAACTTTCGTTCGTTAATTAACAAAAAAAATTATTTACATATTTTTTGGTATGCATCGGTATAAATTCAAGTTTATTTATCTTTCAGTATAAATTTTGTATATGTTTTCGTTGTTTTTTATCTAAATTGAATGGGTAGCGTACTTCTTTTTGTCCAACTTTAGTCCTTGCGTTTTGCTTGCTGTCATTTTTAGTCTTTGCTTTTATACCATTGTCATTAATGTAAATTTTGGTCTATGTAGTGGCTCATGCATTCTTATGGATTATTCAAAAACCATTCAACTTTCAAAAATACTCCCTAATCTCTTCTCAACTTTTGATAAAAATCACTCAATGCTCATTTCTTTTAAAGTTTTAGTGATTTTGGTAGCAGTGATATGTTATACTGATTTAATCAATTCTCACATAATACGCAAGAAAAACATGTAAGAACCCGCGACAAAATGCGAGCTCAAATACTTGTTGCTTATAAATTTCAAATAATTGTATCGTTATTTTTTTTACATCTAACTTCTATAAAATAGACACTACATTTATTTTCTTTAATTCCAACTTCTATAAATTTCAAAGGATTAGCTAGTATTTTTGTTACAACTCGCTAATTATTACATTTTCTATAACTTTTATAAATTTCAAAAAATAATTCATTATCTCCTTTTTCACCTCACATATATGAAATAATAACACATCATTTCAACTTTAGGAATTTCAAAAATAAATAATTCAGTCATTTTTTCTCTAACTTGCAAATATTGAAAAAAACTAGTTGTGAGACTCGTATATTACATGAGTTAATTTAAAAAAAAAAGTTAAATATAAAGGTCAAAATATTTGAGAACTTTGAATTTATAAAAAAATAAGAAAAATAATGAATTATTATAATGGAAATGTTTTTAATCTTTTAAATTTAAACAAATAATTTGAATAAATAAACAAAAAAACTAATGAGCTTTAATTTTGGGAATTTTAAAATTAAAATGTAAGTTGATTAATGAAATTGATATTCATTTATTACTACATTTATTGCAATTTTACATTAAAATATTATGTGGAATTTAATAAAATATAAAAACTCATAAAATGACATGTGGAAAAAAATTTAATTCAAAATAACCATAAAAAGACATTTGACAAACTGAATGATAGTGTGACAAATGAAAAAAAAAAAAAAACTTTCATTTATTATAGTAGATAGCAATCACATAATCTACAACTTCACGATTTTTCAAAAAAGTTTGATCATTTTTTTTGTAACTTGCAAATGTCAAATAATAACTCACCACTTTCTTTATAATTTTTACAAATTCCAAAATATTTTTTTACAGCTTAGCAAATTTAAAAGAATAACACATCATTGACTATAATTTTTGCAAAAAAAAAAAAAAAAAAAAAAAAAACTAATTCATATGTAACTTTTGGTTTTCAAAATGTAATTCATCCCTTGTAACATCTACAATGACCATTACCCGTCACTTTATAAATCTTAATAGTTAATAGACGTCTACAATGACCATTAAATGTCAATTAGGTGTCCAACTTTTGTCAAAATTTAATAGATTCAATGTAAAATATAGAACATTTATTTGGTTACATTATTATCATAAAAAAGAAGAAAAATAATAGCATAAAATAATGGACATTCGTGTATGTAAAATATAGATAGTTATTAACTTTGTAGATAGAAACAATGTGATTGTGGTGGTATTTACCCCAATAAATGATTATCTTCATATTAATAAGAAGTAGTAATTTAAGGATAGATTTTAATTTGGGTGCAGGATGTGGCAATAGCAAAACTAGCAAAGATGAGTTCATGGTCTAATGATGTTTAATCGCTAAATCTAGTCGAAATTGAGAGTTGCATGGTCGTTTAAGTCAAAACTCCTTTAATATAACAATCTATCATTATACAAATTTCAAAAGGATAAACTAAAATAATAAACAAACATGAATGAAACAAATGCAAATTTTCTCTTTCCAATGGGGTACCCGATAATCTTCATTCATCTCCCAAACCCATGAGCAACTTCATATTTACAATGGTAGCAAAATTCATACACCTAAAACAAATTTCAAAAGCAAAGCATTACATTTTTTCACACCAATTTATGCATATTATTTTATCAAATTGGTTGCATATAATGGTAACAAACTGAATCACGGCAGCATGAATCAGTCATACATTTTAGGGTCAAATAGCAACATACTGCAAATATTATATCGCGTTAATTTAGTTATTTTCTTACATATCAGAATGAGATTTTGATTGTCCCCTTTGAAGATGGAAGACTTATGCCTCTTGCATGGAGCATGGTATTGGTATCTGATGACTCTAATGCTCTGGATGTTTGGAGAGCCATTTCTGAATGGAGTTGAAGACATGCCATTGCCATCTGATAATATAAATCAATACCAGATATTATGTTATAAGCAATGCCAATAATATACATATAACATTGAAACAAAATTAAAATTCCTTTATTTTATTCTCCTCACCATGTAGCATTCTTTATCGGTGTCTGACTCAGCTACAGAGATGGCCCACATGCGTACCCACTCAAGCCCTCTGGACATTTCACTACTTCCTTCAACCAGTGAAGATGCCACATAAGTAGGATTAACAGCCACCAATATACATGATGCTGCAAAAAGTACAGATTTACGAACATATGCTTCAACATGACGACTTATGTCCCTGCAATTTCATACCAGTAGTTTTAAGAATATGACAAATATGCCCTTCCATAAATAAATAAATAAATAAAAATACCTGGAACTCAACATATCAAGTAACGGAAGTGCTAAAGCGGATGCTTCTGGATGCATAGCTGAACATTTCATACAAGTACCCAACATGTGAATAAGTTTTCCAAGGACAATAAAGTCCCTACCTAAAAAGTCAACTCCATGACTTTTCTTGTCAAACCCCTGCATAGCTGGAAGCATAAACGCAGCTGCAAACGGAGGAAACTTATTCTGCGACCACTCCACGTCATCATCTTGTACTACATTTTTGTGGGCCCACCTCCGCGACTTCCCTCTCCTGTGTTGACCGGGTTTGACCGGGAGATCTCTCTCGTAGGAATAAGTGAAACTCAATGGAGATTGAGATGCTGAGATCTCTTTCCATGGGGTTGCACCCTGAGACCCTATGCTACTTGGCAAGAACCATGGTTGACTCTCTGAAGTGGTCAAGATTTGGGGGGTTGACCGGTGCTTTTGTCTACTGGTTTTTGCATGAGAAAGCTCAAGTGCTGCATCTGTCATGACATCAAGAATCATTATCCGTTGACTGGTGTCTACATTCGGTGAATATAGGAGTTTATGTATCGGATCTAGACTTCCTAATGGACAATTTACAATTAGGGCAACCAATGCTTTTTGTCTCTTTTCTTCAGCTGATTCTTCTTCCCCTTCCAAAGTTGAGTCTGAGCAACGAACCTGGACAAGCGCCCTGACTAGATCACCTGCTATGAATGAAAGTTCATCTGGAGCTGCTCTAATAAGGCTTTCAGCAACATCAAGTGCTCTTTCAACCTGCAAATTTTTATAAAATATTTTAAGAAAAAACTCCAAGGATATACTATTACTAACCAACACTTGTAAACACTGACACTGATAACTTACACCATCAGCATCATCAGACTTTCTTAGAGCTCCAACCACATCAATCAACTGTGAGAAGTTCTTTTTCAAGTCAGTATCATCATCAGACAAATCATACGGTTGTAAAGAGGATTCACTGGAAGTTTCAGAAATCTCAGAATCATTATCATCATCAGAAGCATCCTCATTGTTCAATGTCGCAGGATCAATAACTTCATCTGGATCAATTAATTCCAATCCCATCAATTTGTTCTTCTTTGTGTCTTTATAAGCTTTTTCTGATACCGATGCAATACGACCATGAACCTTATCTTGGTCTTTATCTGTTTCTTTGTCATTAGATATTGCCACGTCAGCATTTGTTGATGTGAACTCCCAGTCAACAGTCTCCTCTTTGCAGGTATCATCAAGATACAGAGGATTGCTAGGGTCAATCACTTTTGAAAAGACTAAAGCAACACTGCTAGCCATCTTGCGTACAAAATGAGAAGGGCTTTCCAGCCTACCTGGCATCATTAAAAAAAGATGAAATAAATAAGGGATAAAAAAAACCGTAATTATTAATTACAGTAGAGGGAAAGATATTTACAGCTAACCCCTTCAAGAATCAAGTGCATTACATCCTTAGTACCATCTAAATCTTCTTTTGTTAGCTTTTCTAAGGAAAGCCCAACTGCTGCTGTTAAATCTGAATCTCAAATTAAGGAATCACAGGGGGTGTAAGTGTAAAATAGAAAAAAATGAACTTTTTTTTAAAGAAAAAAAAAAGATACATGCTTGTTGCTCTACTGGTGCTGACTGTACAAACTCTCGCTTTGACCATACTGCAAGAACACGCTGAGTGGCATCCAATAAATTGCGATGATTTCCAGTTTTGCCCTTGACTCTGGTATCAGGAGGGGATTGAAGAACAGAAAACTGAAGGATCCATCTCAGACAACAAACCGGGAACACTTTCCAGAGTAAAAATCTCTCTGTAAACATGGACCTGATGGATGTTTGGAGTTCAAAATCTGGTGAAACAATAACCAAAGAATCCAGTAACCTTCAACATCATTTATGTCTTGAGTTGCTAGTTTTTGCAAAAGCTGCTCAGATATTCTTTCTACAGCATATGAATCTTTAATTGCCTCCATTATCTTTGACCAAAACTGTAGACCAGGTTTTGATTTATAAACTTCCACAATGGACAAATCAGTCTTTTCTTGTAAAAGGCTTTTTACTTGAGTAACAATTCGTGGGATCACTTCACTTATTAGCACATCTGCATGAGATGAGCAGTTCTTGTTTTATTATTATTTTGTTTCAAAATATCAATGCAAATTAATCAAAGTTGCTGTCTTTGTGATATCATAAGCATACCTGCAGATCCACGCCTACAAATACGAGCAAAAGCATCCCCAATAAATAGCATAGAACCATTGAAATCACTTCCATTATAGTTAACTGATTCATCATAATACTTCTTGTTCCATTCTTCTGCTCCCTGAATTAGTTGAATTGTAATCCTTTTGACATATAAGCTGACACATTTTGTCAAGATACAACAAAATCCAACATGTTTGGGATGAAAAGAAAGATGAAATATGAAGGATACTGTGATGAAAGTAAGGTGGAAGCTCCCAATCGTGCTTTGTCAGGGACAGATGTAACAAGTTGTGCCACTCTAGAAATTGCAGCCTTGTGCTGTTCAAGAATTATATCTTTGGATTGGTGAGAAAAATCTCTAACCAACTGGAGCACCCCATCATTTTCAAGCAAGCATAGTGCAAGTAATCTATCAATAATATGGGGATTATATGTTTATATCCACTTGATTTTATAGCAATTAACCAAATGATACACAAGCATTGGGGATACCTTTCAGTATTTGAGCAGACAGTGGTTTCAAGTAGACCATTTGAGTGATGTTGTAGATAAGGAACTAAAGTTTGTACAACCTCTGAGACACAGCCACTTAAAAAGAATACATCATACAAATGTTTCTTTGCAGAAATGGGGAAACAGGTTAGCCAATTCAAAGCAACGTCTGCATATCAAAATATATAATATTAGAAACCTGAAGAATGAAAACCTTATACAGATATGTAATTCAGTTTTTAGATAGTGAGAGCAGGTGCAAGCTCTACAGAATGTAGAAGACAGATGAAAGCTTTTCTCATAGATCAATGGCATGGAAGTGAAAGGGAGCAATGGAATTTAATGATTACCAAGTAACAACACTCTAGCCATTGTTGGAAACGCAGTACTTTGATAAAACACCTGCCACCAGTTATCTCTTTCATGTACTGAAGGAAGTTCTGCTCCAATAATCTCATCTCTATACTCTTTGTCAATGCTACCTACAAATTCATTAAAACAGTGAAGCAGTTAGTAACCGTTGATCATTTATAGTAAAACCCTAATTAGCACCTAGCAGAATTATAATCATTAAACCTAATTCCAACAAACGCATAGAATTTTTCTATTTCCAATAACTTGAATGATTAAACAACGAGGTAATTTGATAGTTATTTTAGAACAAAAATTTGACAGTTTAATTGTATGATAAAGCTGAAATTGGAGAAAGATAAATGACCGGCGAATGAGCGGGACTCGAGAGAGAAAAGGCGGACAGCGAGAGAGTGGAGTGCGCAAATGACTTGGTCAACGTTTTTGGCTTCATTGATCGTGGCGATGACTTCTCCGACCTTCTCGAGTACTTTGTTATTAGTGTTTTGTTCACTTCCGTTCTTCTTCTCTGTTTCTTCGCCGCCGTTCATGGCTGCTCCGTTCTCGCAGCTCTTCTGCTTCCCGGTGTTTCTATATTATCGATTTCGGAATTAAATTTCATGTATATACATGGCCAGTCCCTTTACTTTTAGTCATTGTCATGCGAGCGCCTAAATGTTTTAAATATATACATTTCACAACTTCACATTACTAAATGGCAAATTGCCAAAAATTGACGACGTATTTTGTTACAAGAGGAAATAAGTTGTCTCTGTCTCTGTTGAAGCGAATGCTAAAGGCCTAAAGCAAACCATGTTGAAGTCGACCATTGCCCCCATGTTATCAACCCTCTACCCGCAAAAGTTATTCCCCGTCCAGTTAGCGTCTTTTTGTAGTGCATTACCACGAAGCCCGCCAACTGTTCGACAAAATGCCTCAACCAACATTCCAACTCTTGAGACCCCCTGTTACAAACTCCCTCCAGCTTCAGCTTACGTCCATCTCCCTTTCTGTCGCAAACGTTGTCATTATTGTGACTTCCCAATATTAGCTCTGGGTTCTTCTTCAACAGAAACCGCGGATGATGATCCAAGAATCTCAAATTATATCAATCTTCTTATTCGCGAAATGGAAGCCACACAAACAAATTTTAACCAACACCCACCTCTTGAAACCGTCTTCTTCGGTGGTGGCACGCCTTCGTTGGTGCCACCAAGACTCGTTGCTAAGGTCCTTGACACGTTGAGATCGAAATTTGGGTTGTGTTTGGATGCCGAGATATCAATGGAAATGGACCCCGGAACATTTGATGCTAAGAAACTGAAAGAGTTGATGGGATTGGGTGTGAATAGGGTATCGTTAGGAGTTCAAGCATTTCAAGAAGAGTTGTTGAAAGCTTGTGGGAGAGCTCATGGTATTGACGAGGTTCATGAGGCAATTGAGATTATCAATTCATGTGGGGTTGGTAATTGGAGCTTGGATCTCATTTCTTCTCTCCCACATCAAACTCAAGAAATGTGGGAAGAGAGTTTGAAGCTCACTGTTGAAGCAAACCCAAATCATGTTTCAGTTTATGACCTTCAAGTTGAGAAAGACACCAAATTCGGTTCATTGTAAGATTGTCATTTAATCTTTTCTCTTATACTATTATTTACATAAATTAACGTGTACACATGATCAACAGGTATATACCAGGTGAGTTTCCACTTCCTAATGACACCCAATCTGCAAAATTCTACAGAATGGCCTCAAAAAAGCTTTCAGAGGCTAATTATGGACATTATGAAGTCAGTAGCTATAGCAAAAGTGGATTTGAGTGCAAACACAATTACACATACTGGATAAACAAACCTTTTTATGCGTTTGGCTTAGGTTCTGCTAGTTATATCAATGGAACGAGATACTCAAGACCAAAGAAGTTAAAAGATTACACAGATTATGTCAAGAATTTGGAGGGTGGATTAGTTGATTTGTCACAAGAAGGTGATGATGTTGATGAATGGGAAATGGCTATGGACATTGTGATGCTTTCATTAAGAACTTCAAAAGGGTTGAATTTGAAGAGTTTTGGAGACGATTTTGGGAGTGAGGTTGTTGTGGAGCTGTGTAAGGTGTATGAGCCGTATATGAGGAGTGGGCATGTGGTGTTTTTGGATGATGAAAGAAGAGAGATTAAAGAAGATGAGTTTAGTTCTTTGGTTTTAGATGATGAAAAGTTGGAAAATGAGATTGGATTTATTCGGTTAAGTGATCCAGATGGTTTTCTTTTGTCTAATGAATTGATATCGCTTGCATTTGGGGTTATTGATCCATGAACAAATGTTGTAGAAGATGTTTTTTTTTTCAAGAAATTGTTGATGCTTGATGAAGAACTTATTGGAGATCTTTAAAAGTAATGTGATCATTCTAAAAGTGTACTATAATTGCATTTGTTTGTACAAAATGTTTAAAATTTTATTTATCATGAAAACATATTTGGCAATTCGATGCATGAAGAAAACACATTGATAATGTTGATTCCTTTCGGCTTTCGCCTAAGTAGTGTTTATAAATCGTGAGGGTCAACAAGGTTTGGGTTAATCGAGTTTGGATCAAGTGTTGGTGTGGGTTTGGGATCAGGTGTGGGTTATTTGAGTCCAGCTAGCCCGAAGCATTTTAAGCCAGGAATTTAAGGGCATATACCATCTTAATTACGAAATTTTAATTAAAGTAATGATTTAAATTAATACATAACTGTATAATTAAATTGGTTATTTGGGTCAACAGGGCACGAGTCGGTTAACATGACTGGTTATTCAGGTAATTCAATTTTAGATGGATGTGTATTAGTTTTTGTTCTTGGAATACATTAGGATGAACCCTAATGAATATTGTTGTTATTGTTATCCGTAAAATACATAAAATCATCATTTTATCACTTTTATCACATATAGTTTATCAATTTAGACATAGTGAGGTATGATAATTAGTACTTGTTAAAGGGACATAAAGTCGGGAGAGTCGTGTAAGCAATTAAAGCGTTCTAATGTTATGGATCATGTGAGTTGTTACTTTAATGGTCCCTTTCGACTTTTATGGTTCCTTATCTTATTATTAACTGAAATTAAAAATGTAACCATTGATCATTGAAGACCAATTTAAGAATGATTGATAAAGGAAAATAATAAAATCGCATAGACAACTACAAAAAGATGTTTATCATAATCTAAGTCGAGTTTTGCTTGCTTCTTAACAAGGACTTGAATGGCGGATAAGTGAAAGCACCATTGAGAAACAACTCAGAAACTACTTTATACATAGCCTCAGTAAGGTGAACCCCGTCCCAGTTGATATATTGAGATGGATTTTGACACGAACTCGCAGAATCAGACCCACAAGTACCTGAAAAATCAAAGTTGTAGGGACCACCACTAGACCCACAACAAGCCTTGTAAACCTCGTGGAACCCAAGCTTTGGTGCATTCTTGACAATTGAGCGATAAGCTTTCCAGTAATCAGCATAAACAATTATAGCTTTTGGGTATTTGTTGCGTAGGTTTTGGATGTTGGTTTGGAGGATGGTGTTGTAGATGTAGCTTTGGTTATTGACGGTGCCGACACATCCAATGTCATCGCGATCTGACTCTGGCGAGAGGTACATGGTGAGGGTCAAGCAACCGGTGGTGGGGAGGCCTTGGACTACCATATATTTTGCACCTTTTTTGAGCAATGTCTAGCAAAGCAAAAAAATAAATCAGTAGATTGTAAAACAATTGGTGAACTAGAACATAATAACAATGTCATAATTTGAATTAAATTTCGCAAAGTATACAAAGTCGATGATATTTTGAATGTGAAATTAACTTTATATACTCTAAATTAATGTGACATCATGTTACACATTGTGATCCGCATATATGATAGTAAACATGAATTCCATGTTATGTGAATATATGATCTCAAATTTACATCAACATAGAATTCATATTACTATTTTATTATTATAGTTATATCATATAACTCAATTAACTAAAGATGGAACAATGTGTTTATCAATTAAAGGAAATAAAATGTCGACTTTCCTATTATTATGAAAAATTTAAGATTTGATTTTGTGAAAATATTTGGATTAAAATTGAATCATATTTAAAAATAAGGTATTCTCCATTATTAATTATACAAATTACAGGTAACTGATATGGAGATGAGAGAACAGGAAACATGCGATTAAAGTGAACGATACTAGAAGAAACATGTGATTAAAGTTAAATGTCAAATCTTAATTATGTCACTCGTTTTTTTTTTAAATGAACATTTTTAATAATAAAATTACATTTTACGATAATTCCTTTCAATTAATAATACTTTATTATTTTATTTTACTTTATTAATTATATTTAATTTTCAATTATTTATTATTTCCCTACTAAATAAGTGTGTGGCCCATATGACATTGTAATATATATTGGCGGGTTCAAAAAAAATATAAATATTAAAGCCAACTAATATTTCATTTTAGTATCTCATATTGAAAGATATAAGATGTGCACTTAAACATTTATTTAAGGATAAATTAATTAACTAAAAAAATGAAAAAGTTTAAGCAATTAAAAGAGGTTTTTGATAATTGATTTTCATTAAACATAAGTTATTAGAAACATCATGTGTCAAAAATAATGTGTTTGTGTAAGATCAACCATTATGAATATTTTTGACAGATATTTTACAAAAAACATGGCTGCTGATCAAAATTTAAAAGAAAATTATAGAAAAACAAAGCAAAGAAATCAACATTATAGGCATTAAACATGCTTTTGATAAACATTTAAAATCTAAATATAATTTGGCTGGTGATGTAATTCATCGTCAAAAGTAATTCAAAATACCATTTAAATCCTCGTAATCAATAACTGAATTTAATATTTTGAAACATAAGAGAATAATTAAAGAAACAAGAATATATGGTAATGACTCGATCGACAGATAATTTGGCATATGAATCATCAAAAAGCACCAAATTATCAAAAGATTTAATATTACTGAAAACTGATATTTCTCTTGAATGCATAATGCTTAATAACATTAATCAAATAACGAAATTGTTAAATATTTAATTACCTCTATAAACCCTGTTACACTGCGAATGGCACGCCGTTGAATGGTTTCACCGCTCACCGTTGATCCAACGGTGTAAGCGTAGTCATTGGCTCCGATTTCACCCACCCAAACTAACGCATCCCGGAACACCGCTGCACATTCCGCAGGCGTCGACATAGCACTTTTACATTTTTGCCCCTGCAATGTCTTGTTAAACCAAGAAAGCTGAGTTTGTAGAGACTGAGGTGTTACATCAAAGGTGAGGTTATTTTTGACAAAAAACGCATGTCTGATAGCGGTGGATCCTGCGACGGCGTAGTTAATACCGGCGGAGGTGTCGGCCTTGCGGTTGAGGTAGGGTGGTAGGTAGGGTAATGAGAGTGATTCCGCCACGAAGTCGATTACCAGACGCCCGTCGGAGTAACGGTTAGTTGGGTGGTGGAAAAATGTGCGGCCGTAAGGGAGGTTGGAGACGTAAGTGAAGGCACTTGGGCCGGTGGGGGAGGCGGTGTTTCCGGTGTCGGTGTAAGAGTCTCCGAAGGCGTAGATCTTCTTGAATGGTCGTGGAGGTGTTGCGGAAGAGGGAGTAAGGAGGAGGAGGAGGAAGATGGCGATGGGGGTAGCTGACATGGTTACCAACGTCCACATGTCTACGTGAATGCGGTTTCAGGTTTTGATAAGGTACGCCTTGTTTATATAACTGAAAGTGATATTTAAAAGACTATTTTACCCTCTGTTCTAAACCTTGGTCAAAGTTGACTCCAAAGTCAACCGGTCAATGGTCAATGACTAATATATATATATATATATATTTTTTTTTTTTTTTTTTTTTTTTTTTTTTTTTTTCTTTTGAAGTTATGTTTTCTGTATATATCTAGTCTATCAAGATTAGTTCATATATATAGCCAGAGTTAATTTCTCGGAAAGAATTGACTTTTCTTATTTAAGTATAGATATATAATATATCCTTTATATAAAGTTGTATTATTAGATTTTAACTCATGTGTATGTACTTAGAGTATTAGACAATTATAGTCTGAATGTATTATTTTGCCATGTCTCTCAAATGATGATGAAAAATAAGGTGTTTGAGATGTAGAGATAGACCTTTGGAGCACGAAATTTTTTATTTGGAGTTTATCATTGGTCATTTGGCACTAACTGTATATCTGTCATTATACTTTTAGATGAGTTTCTGGTATTGGACATTTCCTTTTTTAGAATGTTTAAAATTATTTGTAATTTTCTATTGTTATTTTAATGATTTTTTTTTCTTTACAAAGTATAGTTTTATTTTCTAGTAGATCATACGAGAATGTTTTAGGGTCAACGGTCACAATAAAAGATGTGACTAACAAAAAGATACAATCTACATTATGGGATGAAAATGGTTAAAAGGGAACATGTCCACAACCTTTTACGCTAATATATGTAAACTCAATCAATTGAGTAATTTACAAATCTGATACTTTTTTTTATATCATTTGTTTTAGTTGTCGTCCAAAAAAAGAATTTTGTGGTAGTTTTATTTGTATGGTTTATTTTGTATTAAATTTCATTCATATGTTAAATCTAGTATTCAAGTTGTAAAATTTATTAATTTGATTAGTATGTCTTCACTTTTAGCAATATTTAATGTTTAACCGTCATCATTATTGATCATTTGGAGCTGATCCACACAAAGAAATGCGGCACCTGCCCCACAAGATTAAAAAATAAAATAAAAAATACATAGTGTTAAAAAAAATAATAACAAGATTTTCAATTTGCGAAACGATGAACTTGGTCTTCAGTGGCAAACTTAGGAAGTGGCGCATCTCTTGATTATATAAGAAATGTTGGTGACACTTGTTTCCACATAGTTCCAATCTGGTATCTGGGATTATGATGATTCTGCAATTCCATCTTTCTTTCTTTTTTCTTTTTCATTTTTCATAAACCATAAAAACACAGCTCTTTGATTACTAGTAGTAGCAACGTGAATTTTGAACTCCTATTGTGAAATCACCTTTAATATAGCAAATACGTTTTCATTTTGGTTTTTTATTTTATTTTGTACGTGTCATATTGCATGTTATCTTAATTAATCTTCGAGTTGTTTTTTTATCTTTATAAACACAGAGGCTAAATATTAAAAAATAGTATAAGTTATTCTTAGACTTGAACAAAAAAACACTAGGCCAAAAAAATTGATTGGATCAAAATCAGAGGCGGAGCTAAGAGAGGGCCAGGGTGGCCATGGCCCCCCTGATTTTTGGCATTCTAATACATATGTTATATATATAATAATAGATTTATCAGTTTCCTAACGTCTTGGCCCCTGCGATGTATTATATATAGTAAGGATACTCCGTAATTGAAAAAATTATTTAAAAAAGTAATTAACTATGAATATTAAATAATCAGCAAATCGGTTATCTTCGATTATTACGCACGATAAATCGGTTCCAACAGAAGCCAGAAATTTGATGAAAAAAATCAATAACAATTCTAATAAAACTAAGATACTGAACTGATTTTAGGAAACTAGACTCTATAAAAGAAAACAAACAACAAATTTAACATCCAAATTATTCACAAGATAAGAGATCATCAAATTTGCTTCTGCCGGAAATCATACCCACCGCCGGAGTGCTCATCCGTTTGAGTCGCCCAAAAATCCACCGCCTAAGTTAGCACAGGAAAAAACCCATTGCTGGAAAACGTACCCATTGGGTCTCCGGTTGACACCGCCCTTGCTGATTTCTGTTACTCCGACCAACATTGCCTTGATATCTTCTGTGTTTCCGACCACAAATCGCTACAGTACCCGCCACTGCCGCCGCCGGAGTGCTTAAGTGACGCCCTTTCTGACTTCTGCGTCTCCGGCCACCGATAGATCGATCTCCGACCAGACGGTGCGACTCTTCAATCTCTCCGATCGGCTATCCCCTTGTAAGCTTCTTGGTTCTCTCTCCAGTCTCCTTCTTTCTTTCTCTTTCTCTCTCTATAATATCATAAGGACGTTTGTGTTTCTCTCTCTATAATGTTGATGTTTGAAACTAATATCTTCTGTATTAGCTGTCAAATTTAAAAGGTTATAATTTTTAATTGATTACTACTATTAGCTGTCAAATTAATAGGCTATAATTTTTAATTGTATAATACTATTATCTATCATTTGTTTTTTGATAAAACCTTTTAGAATAAGTCTTGTTTTTTAATTGTATAATACTATTATCTATCATTTTCAATGAGTCTTGTTAGAACAAGGCTATGAAATAAAATGGAAGATGAATTTTTGAACAACTCGTTGGTTTTATACTTCGAAAGGGAGCTTGCAGAAAAGATTACTTTAGAGACGATTGTGCAAGACTTTAAAGACGTTAAAGATAGACGGATTCCACTTTAATGAGCGATGTTAGAATATTTTATATTAATTTTTGTGTTTGATTTTTTATATTTTATGACGTTGAATCGAATAAATATATTTTAGTGCTTCTTTTAAAAATTTAGTTTCGGCCCCCTGGTATAACTTTTCGTGTTCCGCCCCTGATCAAAATCATATATGAAAGACACAACTTGACCGATAAAATTGTTTTGTTCAAACCCAAAAACATTAGCCGACCTAACCCAACATTCATACTAAAAAACCATATGTTCACCAATCACCAATCCAATAAAAAACTGAACTAGTATCGGAGCAAAACCGAATATATCAGTTAGATTTATGGTTTAAACTTTCCTTAACAAACTGATTTTCAGTTCCGTTTATAGTTTTACCAAAGAAAAAATGTTAAATTTAGAAGGCAATCAATACATAGTTCTTTTCCCTTCTTTTGGAAGTTTAAAAATACAGTTTTAGTGCAGATTAAAAAAACTATCTATCATATTTGAATTTATAATATTTAAATTAGAAAACCCAAAATTCATATTTTGCTATAGTTCAATTTAAGACCGAACCTACTGTAATTCTAATTTAGAATGCTTCGGTCCACTTGCACAATCCTACAGTTAAGCGGCCTTCATTCATTATGGAAAGGGGCAAAGGGGTTGAGACAGACTAATAAATTATAACGATGATGGAGGGGTTGGTTGAGGAAATTTGTTACAAACTAAAAAGCTTTAAATGTTGTCATGTTATGTTATGGTCCTCCCATCCTCACCTCAAGGCTCAAGCCACCACCTTAGTCGGTTATTTATTTCCCATTAATGACGTGTACGCTTTACTTTATTAGATCAATTTAATATGACAATATGGTAGTATTTAATTTTCCATTCTGTCCCAATCTTGATCAACGATTCAAACTATAACCCATCAAAAATCGCATTATCAAATGACTTTTAATCTAACAGTATTGGGTGTTGTTTTTCCTCTTGAGGGTTTAAGTCTCGTCATGAACATAGGTGGAACTAAATAGTACTTTAAGAGTACATTAACTTTGTTCTAAAAAAATCTAAAATCACATTGATTCAGTCCATAACACATTAAAAACATCATTGAAGGACCCCAAAAAGTTCCATAGTGGAGTCCAAAGATCCGGGTGTGGCTTTGTTAGATATAAGGAAGATTGTAAAGAGCAACATTGTGGAGAAATATATCCATATAGGAAAAGGTCTCTAATGCCTAATGGTCCTCCATGTGAATATGTTCCCTTCATAGCAGGACAAGCTAGTCAAATTTTGAAAGCCGATAAATATAACAACTCAATAATCAATAACATATCCACCAACCTTCTCATGAGAATCACAAACAACTAGACCTTGTAAAATTGTAATGGTTTCTCTCTTTTGATTCTTTTGGTTGGTTTTATCACATAACTTACATTCAACTTTCTAGTTTACCATTTTTATTTATCACATGTTTTCTAGGTCACCTTAAAGTGAAACTCGCAAGAAAACCCTTAAGTTTGCATTCTTTTCGGTTTTACCTGAAATATGTTTTTTTTTTCAAATTTACACCTATAATTTTTATACAACTTATTAATTCACTCATGTACCTTATGAAATGAGATGGAAATAATGGTAGAAAGAGGCTCGAAGAAAATGAAATTAGAAGCGCGTAAGTGCTAAAGTGATATTTTAAAAAGGAAAATATAATTGTTAATCATTATCTTTTTTTTTTAAAACTTGTTACAAACACTATTTTAGTCTTAAATCTACATATTTTGTCTACAGTATAATTTAAACCATCAATCTTTGGCTAATGACACACATCCATCAACTCTTAATACTGCTAGGGCAAGGGCCTTTGGTTGTTTATCATTATCTTTGATTAAAAGATTTCAAATATGTATCATTATCTAGTAGGCCAGAGCAATTAAGTCAAGGGTCCAATATATTACCATTTAGCGGGACCAAGAAATAAGTATCGAGTATGAGGAAGATGTTTTGGAAAGATTATGCATATTGATATCATGGTCTCAATAGCTTTTTTGAGTTACACCACACCATAATCAACTATTATAAATGAAGATTCATTTTGTCATATGTCAATCTCTCATGAGTTTTGACGCTTGTCATTTTATGATATTTTTTAAATAAATAATATCCACGTGTCAATTCTTAGGTTTTTCAAATTTTGAAATTAAAAAGTCATATAATATTTATATATTTATATATGTAAAGTATTAAATGTCATAAATATGATATTAAATTGCAATTAATACATTTCTTTATTTCTTATTTTAAAATTTTATTTTAAAAATATTTATTGTTTACACTTTAATACTTAATTTCTTTTTTAATCAATCCGTGTAATACATAGGTTTTACATCTAGTTTGAGCAATATATGTTGGTAGGCATAATCTTTATATGCACATGATAGTTAATCCGTGAATAGTAGGATTTTTGGATGTTATATATTTATGAAATTTTCAATATGGGCTTTAGGGTGTAACAAAAATCAAAACTTTTATTTGAGATCATGAAATTGAGTCCACTTTATATTAAGAAGAAATGCATATTGAAATAATAAAATTTTAAAACTTTGATTGAAATAACTGAATCTTGATCAAAATTGAATGTAATGTAGCTCCACGTAAGGTGTAACTTGGGAGTATATATTTAAATTTTTAAGGAGGTGGTCAGGACTTTAATTGTATGGAAATTTGTGCACATATTGCAAGATTGCAATGTGTCTGTCTGTTTGGGCATGAATGCATGTTGAGTTAATTCGACTCCACAGTCCACATGCTCTTCCATTCCTCTTTGGCTCTTTAGTCTCAACTACCTTTGTATTTTGTAAGCAAATTTTTTCCTTTAAAACTAATATATTAAATTACTTAATAGAATATTTTATTTGGGATGGGAAAAGAAATCAAATATGTGGGATGGAAAAAGATATATACACAAGTGTTTAAAACCTCATATAAGTTTTTATCATGTTAATGAATGCATACCAAACACAGTACAACTACAACCTGTTATGCCGAGTCTTGCATAACTATCGATGATCTTAGCGGTTTCATAATACAAGAAAGAGAAATTAAGATTAATGATTTGTTGAAGAATTTGGTTGCGACTCAAGGAAGAGTCGTACAGTTGAGAAGATGAGAGAAGGTTCAGCCATTGCACCAGTGCCATAGTCCCCACAAGCAAGCCTTTTAGAGATGGGGGGTATAAGCGTAATTCCAAGTTCATCCACTGTCATAAGATGCCTTTCTGTAAAAGGATTTGTCCACATAAAAGTGTTCATTGCTGGAGCCACAAATATTGGCTTCTCATAATCCCATGCTCGAATGATACTTGTCAGCAAGTTGTCACACAGTCCACCAGCAATCTACATACAACTCTTAAACTGTTACCTATTTTCATTCAACATTATTAAGAGTATAGACAAAAGGGCAAAAATGTAATTTTACCTTGCCAAGCGTATTGGCTGACAGGGGAGCAATTACCATAATATCAGCCCATCGACGAAGCTCTATGTGAAGCACAGTATCTCCAATCTTTGACCAAGATGACCATTCGTGTTCATCGGTGTAGAGAATGACATCCTTTGGAAGAGATGCTGTGTCAATGAAATGTAAAGCTGCTTGTGTGGCAACAGCTTTTACATCTGCCCAATCAGAGAAACAGCTGCAGAGGTTTCCAAACTTTATGGCAGCTACACTTCCACTTGCTGCTAGAAGAATCCGGGGTCTTCTAGAACCATTATTCACTTGCATTGCATCTAAACCTTCACCAGATGCCATAGATGCCCCCTCAAGACTGAAATTGAACAACAGGATACCATTAAAATTACATCTATGTTCCATGTTAAGCAAAGAAGTTAGCAAAAGTTAAAGATCAGGTGATCCACCACAAATCAAGTGTTCCTATGTTTGTATTTCATGGTTACTCGTAATGTTTTGAAAAAGAAAATTGAATTGCAAAAATTAGAATTTATCTATAGTATATTTTACATTAATTTGCACTCAGTTTCTACAAACGTCATGTCCAAAAACAATCAGTTTCTACAACAGTGACAACAATAACACCTAACCCTAAACAATTTTTTGCAATTTGCTATAAAGGGTTTGAGGTTTTGAAGTGTGTACACTCTAAGATGCAACAGAAAATCAAAAAACTTAAGCAATCCCTCAACAGGCAGGCAATGCTGACCTTGATATTCCTTCTATTTAGTTTGACTATTAATCTAACTAAAATTTACTTATTTATTGTGAGTTATGCTTATATGTACTATCAGCATCTCCAAGAACATAGGTAATCACAGGTACATTAGCTACATTAGATGCTATCCTTTCATGAATTCCTTTAGGATATATCTTTCAGTCACCTTCAATGCTTGACAGTGGCAATATTCATACGCATAACAGCTCTTTTGCAATTCGGTTTCAGGTTTTGATTTGTGTATGTTCTAAGGTGCCAAACGAAGATGCATTGATAAGTTGCCTAAGTTCCTTATAGCTTTAATGCAAGAAATGGCACAGACAATGGTTGGTGAGATAAATGAAGTCCCATTAAAAGCAACAACATATCGGGGAAAGACTGCAGGCACTAAAATTGCACTTACCAAAAGAAACCCTAAATCCTAGAAGGCAGAACCTAAAACGGCACAGTACTGTTTATGGTATCGATACTTCCAGTTAATGTATAAATCACCAAACAAACCCCAAATCAAAAATAACCCATAAAATCGCAAACCCAAAACGTAGAAATCCCATCTCTGAATCTAAAATCGCAAAGACAAAAGCTTGAGAAAGCAGAGAGGCAGACCTGAGTTAGTCAGATAATTTATTGGGTGGTCTGACGAAGTGCGGTTTCCAGCGAAGAAGTTGTTAGCGTTTGTGAGAAACTCCGGTTTCCACCAACAACGATAGCTAACAGACAAGGCAGCGCGACATGGTGATGCAGAAGAAGGACGCGGTACAGGGCGGTGATGGTGGTGTGTATGTATAAGGCGAGAGAGGCTGGAAAGAAACCGACAACAACGAAAAGGCTATATAGGATGGATAGCTTACAAAAACTAAAATGCAGGAAGAGATTTTGTAAATAGCACCGACAATTGAGAATTCACTGTTAGAATTTGACAATTGCTATTTCTCTAACTAACATAAACAACAAACGCAATTTTGTTGTGGATCATGATATGGAGTGTTAAACTGAAGAAGAGAGAAGTTATACCTCAAATCAAAAAAATATCCCCTTGCTTCGCCGTCGGTTGTTGGCCGCCGTCGCCGATTAATCAGCCCTTCAGTGAATTTGCCCAACTTAAGCGGTAGATATGGAGCAAATGAAAATTTCAAACTCGTTTCAACTTTCTAAATTTTACAATAAGCTTTCATGCCCTAATTTTGTAAGAGAACTTTAGAAAGTCATCCAACTATACGAGATGTCAAAAGACCCACTGTAACTTTAAATCGCCTATGTTTTCCTTTTAATCTTCAGGAAACGTATAAATTACATTTTTAGTCCCTATTATTTTTAATTTACTGTAAGTTACAGTTTTAAATTTTAATCATTGTAATTTTTAGACAAACCCGTAAAAATAATTTTTGCGGTTTGCATTTTTTTCGGGGTTTCGATCTAAACCTTAGAAAAATTGGATTCAAGGTCTTTTTGAACATGTTTCGTTGTGGATTTTGCTCTTACTAAAATTAAAATGACTATCAATGAAGAACTCAAAATTAGATTCATTTGTAAAAAGATAAAAATGAACCATAGATATTTCAATCTAGATTCATAAACACACAACCCAAAAGGCACCACACATCTTCTTCTTCAAGACCCTTCACTTACAACTAAACATCGATGAAGAACTCAAAATTAAATTACTTTGTAAGGGTATACCCACAAAAATCTCATCGGTACCGAATAAATCTTTTTGTGCCATGGAGGTATTTGATGTGTTTTTTCCCTCTTATTTAAAAATGTAATTTATGCATTTCTTTAAAATTAAAAGAAAATATAATTTGAACATACACCGTATTTAATTGAAAAATATGATGTCTGAATTTTAATAAATACATTCGTCGGGGAAAAATATGATGTCTGAATTTTAATAAATACATTCGTCGGGTAAAATCGAACCGATGTCCAAAACTCCTAAAGTTGTATTTTAAAGTTGTATGCTGAGTAATAAGAAGTTGTGATCGCACAATTGAACAATTCAAAAGTTAAAAGAAATGTCCAACTAAATGATATTAATATATTTTTTTCCATGGGTTCATCGACAATTAATTGAAAATAACAATGTAGCTCTAGAATTTTATAAATAATTCAAATAAGATAAGATCCAAAGACAGAAATTTCTGTCTTGAAAACATTTTCTTTGATTGAGACCTTTTGTTCCTATGATACAAACAAAATTTCAAGCAAGTCAAGTATTCTATTAAATGTGTAACACAAGAAACTTACAAAAATAAACTCAAGCCAACATAGATTCCTGAATCAAGTTTATAACTTCTCCGCTTAACACACATTGTTTTAACTAAGATTTTGTTTGAAGGATACAAACAAATAGTCACAAAGCTCTAGTTGTTACATTGACATAGTAATTTCAACCGAACATACATAAAATCCCTAAAAACAATTCGAGCACACGACAAAAACTCCATTGTATATATTTAGCTTCCTTGAAGACAATTTCTTCACACCAAACATGTCATCAACATACAAATATAGAATGAAGGTATCAAGAGTTATCATCCTCATTCTCTTTTCAATATTCATTACCTTGTTTATATCTTGCGTTGATGGTCAGTCTTGCAAGGCGAGTGGAAAGTTGAGAGGTAAAAAACCCCCTCATGGGACATGTGTGAACGATCCAGATTGTTGCAAAGAAGGCAAGTTTTACACCACGTACAAATGCTCACCCGTTGTCACTAAACATACAAAGGCGACACTAACGATAAACAGTTTTCAAAAAGGTGGGGATGGTGGAGGACCATCCGCATGTGATGATAAGTATCACTCAGATAATACGCTAATTGTTGCATTGTCCACTGGCTGGTATAACAACAGAAAAAGGTGTTCTAAGTTTATCAATATACACTATAATGATAAGAGTGTAAAGGCTAAGGTGGTCGATGAGTGTGACTCCACTGTAGGGTGTGATGCTGAGCATGGATACCAACCACCATGTCCTAATAACATCGTGGATGCATCTAAAGCTGTTTGGAAGGCCCTCGGGGTGCCTAAGAGTGACTGGGGTGAGGCCAAAGTTGCATGGTCAGATGCTTGATGCCAATTCGATGATGAGATCAGGTCGCTTGAGTTTATGAATAAATTTATAAACCTTCAGAGAGCCTGGACAATAAAAACAATAATCAAGCGAAGACTTTTTATTTCAAATTACTGTTCAACTACTTGTTTCTTGCCAGATGTCTGAAGCACAGAATTTGCGTTATTTTCCTCTTGGGAAAATCGATAAATCCATGACTATGTGTTTCTTTTCTTATTTCACTTTTCTTGTTCTATCAATATGGCAAAATTTTAACAAACTATCCTTAATTATAATTTTGTTTAATGGTTAAAACTACAATAGAAAGATAATCACAAAAATAAGAGGCAGTTTGGTTTGTGGTTTCACTGGTTTGTGTAGTAATGATTTTAGTTTTGACAAATAAACTGGAATTTGAAGTTTTGGAATTTAAAGGATTCAATTTTATGGAGCTAATAAAGTTGTTCAATTTGACAGTAGAGTTAGTGTCGTCTCTTGATCTGGAAAAGTTAAACATTCTATTCTTCAAATTGACATTGTGGCTTTTAGATTACAGTTCCAGTCTTCCAGAAATTCATATTGAATTGATTTAATAATTAGTTTTTTGTATATCTTATTATTATTATTACTAATATTTGAAATTTCAAAAGGAACTCTCCACTACCAGAAGTGAGAGGGCTTCTTTTGAATGGAAGAAGATAATCAAATACAAAAATTCACGTACGGCTTTCTTTTACTGGGATTCGATTTTACTATCTTTAGTTCAGGCTCTTAATCGTTCAAATTACAGAATTACATGTAATAGAGCAAAGAACACTCAAAAAGTAGAGAACAAATTGAAAAACAAGGTGGGGGATTTACCTGATAAGAAAAATCAAGAGACGGCAGTTCTTCGGTGGCGAGAGCGATTGAGAGAGATAAGTTAAGAAAAATTGAGACACGGTAGTGCTTCACTGGTGTGAGTGACCGATTGATAAAATCAGAAGTTCGTGAGGACAAGTTCGTAGGAGACGATGGGTGGAATTGTTTTTTTTTTGGGTGGAGATTTGATCAATAGTGTTTAACTTAGGATATTTGTATAATTTAATACAGAGACAGATTGGAAACAATTTTCAAAAAAAAAAATCATTCAAATAGTCACAATTTTATTTTGTATGTCACTGTCTACTAAAATCTAGATGGTATCGTGATTTTTTTAAGATTTTTCGAGTAAATTACAAAAATCTAGTTGGCCTATGATTTTTTTTATATTTTTAGATTTTTACATGTGACCATCTGCAAAAATTTAGGTGACATGAAAAAAAAATTATAGATTTTTGTTGGTTATTTTTTGTGATTGGGAGAATCCAGATGGTCGATGATTTGATGACCGATTGGTGTTAAACTATCAATAATGGACAAACGTCAGCCAGGAAGACCAAAGACACAGGTCATATCCATTGCAAAGAAGAATCATTAAAAAGTAAATTGTCTGATTGTTAGACCAACGATAATGGTACGATGATTATACTCATGTAATGAAAAATGCCATAGAAGAGATTGCACCAAATTTGCCCCATTCAAAGAAGAATTATGAAAACGCGGTGAAAAATCAAGTAAGATAGATGCGTCGAGTATGAAGGGGTCTGCGGAGAGCGGGTAACAAGCGAGGGCGTTTACCCTACTTATGATTTGAATTATAATTTTTCACCAAAATGCCCTATTCTTTTTCTATAAACAATTTTTGATTAAATTCGGTTTGCAAATCATCTTTCTTTAAACTCATACGATTTCCTGATATACCAATGGGTACCACTTATATATATATATATATATATATATATATATATATATATATATATATATATATATATATATATATATATATATATATATATATATAACACCTATAAAATTCAAGTCAAATTAAAACTTTTTAAAACCCTCAAGTTATTATAGTTTGTTTTCAAAATAGTTTAGACATCAGAGTATCCCCAGAATCAATTCATAAAACCATAAAATATGAGGAGCTGTACGATCACGCCTTTGCGTTCCTGCGATCATCTGATGTACCTGAAACAATAAACTGAAACTGTAAGCCCGAGAGCTTAGTGAGTTACCCCAAAATACCAACACCATACAAACATAACCATATCATATAACCAATACAGAACTGCATGCATCATGAGCCTTCAACATGACTGGACCGCCTCGCAGGGCCTACAACCTATCTGGACCGCTTCCGAACCTTCGGCATGACTGGACCGCCTCGCAGGGCCTACAGTCTATCCGGACCGCTCGTCGGGTATGTCGGCCTACAGCACAAAGCAGGACCGCCTCAACCCAACCCCCAATCAAACGAACATGTGAACATAAATATCATACGCTAGCTTACATATATAACAATCAAACCGATCTAATAAATCATATAGCACATCAACATCCTATAACCAGGACACCGACCTAACCAGGTCACTAAGCATAAACATAACCTCATCCTAACCAGCAGGATGCAGATCTAACAGATCAACAAGCATAGTGTCATCCTATCTACCAGGAGGCAGAACTAACATATCACTAATCCTATCAAACAGTATGCATAATGAGCCTTCAGCCTGACTGGACCGCCTCGCAGGCCTTCAGCCTATCTGGACCGCCTTGGGTATGCTGGCCTTCAGCATAAATCAGGACCGCCTCAACCCAAACATACACATACATATGCCGACATACTCATAACACATAATCAATCAACAACAAGCACATATCATACAGCTCATAACAACGTACTATAACCAGGATGTAATCAATAAACATATCATGCCATAACCAGATACAATCCATAAGGGCCGGCCTTGGTGCCTTAGACCCTATTGACATAGTGAGGATAACTCACCTGGCACTATTGAAGTCCCGCGGATGAAACTCCAACTGTTGGTTGACAGATTCCCAAACTGCCAACATCAAACAACACCCAATTAATAATTGGGTTCCAAGCCCAAAGTCCAACTCACACTACAAAACCCAATAGTCAAGTAATGGGCCGAAGCCCAACACATGGCCCAATTTTCCAAATTGGGCCCAGACCTCTACATGGTCTTTCTTTAAGGCCCATCCCATTATTCCAATCCAATTCCCATGATCCAATATCACATAATCATGAAGGCCCAATTATGGCCCATTTATGGCCCAACTTTCCAAGTTGGGCCCAAGTCCTCACATGGGCCTTACCCTAAAGCCCATCTAATTACTTTGGTCCATTAACTTGCTCTTGGATGGCCCACCAATAGTCCAATCGCCAAAGCCCAACAGGAAGGCCCAATTCAAGGCCCAAGTGAGATTAGGGCTTTCACATGAAATGATGATTAGGGTTAAGTGTTCCTACTTAACCCACTAATGACTTAATCTACTAAGGACTTAATCCATTAAGTCCAATATTGCTTTTAGGTTAATTTTTGTCAATGATTATTATTTAATATTTCAAGTTATTAAATAATCTCGTGTGTGTCCCGATAAATTCTCAAAATTTGGGTCTTATGCCATTAGGGTTTTCCAAACCCTAATTAAGGTTTTCCAACCCAATACTAGCCCTTTAGTCCATTGGTTGGGCTTTTAGGTCACATTGGGCCTCATTGGCCCATTAGGGTTCCATTGGGCCACTAGGGTTTCTTTGGGCCCATTAGGGTTTCATTGGT